AGTGTTACGCTTTCAAAGTAGCAAGATTCCGACTAAACAAATATTCTAATCAGCCTTCCCCTGACAGCCTCATTTATCTAAGTTTGGAATGTGTGGTTTGATAAGGGAGATAAGTAAAATTCTCTGTCTACCTTCTGGTCTCTAGGTCACATTTTACCCTAGTTCTGTACTAACTATTCCAAAATGCTTGAAAGTAATAAATACAGAAGTCTCCTAAGAACCAGGCTCAGAGGGCAGCTCAGGCGAGGATGAAGAGTCGCATGTGAGCGGCACTGGGGTGCGATTTGCACGTGTGCTTGTGTTCTAAGTGCATGGCTCACGCACATCTGAATGCTGTGTGCGCTCTCGAAACTACGAGCCCAGTTTTGTCTGCTTACAAAGTGCTGTTACATATACCAGTTCACTTGCTCTTCTAAACCAGTGGTTTCCAAAGTAGTCTTCACATCTTCACATACCCCAGGGGTGCGGGAAGAAAATATTAAAACTCAGATTGATATTTAATTGTTACCTTATCTTACTATTGCTCTAAAAAGTATATAACATATTAGTACAAGAAGACAGTAATTTATTTGTAAACACACTTGTATTAGGGATGTGTGTAGTATATATGTTTTCTGATAACTGGTGCAAGATCAAAAAAGTGTGACAATCCCTGCTGTGGTCTTAGTGTTTCTCCAGGTGTGGCCAGAGACCACCCACATTGATGGTGCAGATGCCAGGGCTCTACCCAAGACCTCCTGAGTCTGAATCTCTGGGAGGTGAGGCCCAGAAATGTGCTTTTTAAGCAAGCATACCACATGCCCCAGGGCATGCTGAAGTTTGAGAATGTCTGCTTTCAACTCTGGGACATAAGAACCATCCCCATTTTAAAGATAAGGAAACTGAGGCTCAGGAAAGTTAAGAAACTTAAACCCAAGGTCATAGGGTGGTGAAGGGTCACAGCCAGATTCCGTGTCAGGTTTATTAGGATTAAAGAGGCACATGTGTGTGAAGTGCCAGGCACATGCCACATGGGCAGAGCCTCCGCAGACCTGGAGGTCATGACACATGGCTGCAGGTGTTGTCCAAGAGCCAACCCAGGATGCACTTTTTTCCATCTCCAGGAGCCAAGAGAACAGTGAGATCTGAGTCTCATTACACGAATACACATCCTTTCTTCCTTCTCCCCCAGGATTTTAAAGATTGAGATCAAGATGACTGAAAAATCAGGTCAGCCAAGCTCCCCACTGCTTGGCTGCAAACATTGGTTGTCTTAAGGTTTTTGTCTCAGTTTGGGACTACTGTCCTCGGGGTAACATGGACTCGTTATGGAGACCAGGCCCTCAGCAGCTGCCTGAATCTACTCCCTGTCCGCCTTTCCAGACCACCAGGAAGCCTCATCATTCTCACGGAGCAGCACCTGAACAATAAACGTAATTTCTGTTCTCTCAAATTCCTATACATGTTTGCTCTCAAGCCCTGTATAACTTTATTACACTGTATCACAGCCTCATAATTAGCATTCAGAAACCTTGGTTAGCTGCATGATGTCCCCTCACCCGGACCGTGAGGAGTTTTTATTCTTTCAGTCAACAAATAACCTATTGAGTTCCCACTTTGTGCCGTACACTGTCGTAGATCCTTTGTTTGGTATAGTCACTTTAGTTGGAAAAAAATTGCTAATAGTTGGCTCCAGGCGACTCACTGAGATGTGCCTGCGAGAATCGTCTGCAGTTGACATACCGGCTGCACGAACGTCGTACCTTAAAGGGCCGGGGGTGCTTCGGAAGTTAGTGGACTGCTTAGGCATGTTTGCTATGACCTGACCCGTAGGAGAAACAAACTTAGTAAATAAAATAAATTAGCTATTTATTTTTCTCTGAGTTAACAGGGAAAGCATTTACCATGAAAAGCAAATGTCAGCTGGTCTGTGTTTGTCCCCAACTCCAAAATAGAAGATTTTAAAATGAATGAGGTTAATCTAGAGAAAAAACAAAACGGAACCAGAGAGCAAGAATTTTTACATTGTCACCCTGAAGACTCGCCATGCGAACAGGAGCACGCTTAGTGAAGAAGAAAGTCCAAGTCCGAGACCGGAGCTGCGGGAGTGACCGTGTCCACCTGCTGCGTGGCCGCATGCAGGCGGCCACACCTGGCAGGTCAGGAGATCTTTGCTCACATACTAGCAGTTGGTGTCTCATTCGTTCTCTAGAGCCTCCTGCTTGGAGGTGCCGTGCGAGAGGTAGAAAGAGAACAGAGAACCGGAGACAGAGTGTGGCAGAAAGCGGAAATGACCGATGGCTCGCACCGAGCATGCACAAGTGGGCATGTGTTGTGTACAAACCTAAAATTCTCTTCATTTGTTTGGGGAGCTAGTTTGCCAGTTATAACAATTTGCTACTATCTGCCTTGGCAAGCAGGGAAAAACATGTAGTCTCATCTTTATATGATAGTTCAATTTCCCCCAGTAACTTCTTACCTGAAGAAACCTATATGTAGAATATAAATAAAATAATCTTACATGAAAATCAAGATTTAACAGGGCAGATATCCACATGATGCACGTGGCTAAGGATTATGGAGAACTGTGATGTGTGTGTCTAACCACAGTTCACGCCTTACGGTCAGAGTACGTCTGTGCTTTCGGGCTATCCAGAATGTTTGAAAAGGTTCACTATTTTCAATGTCACCTTTCTGATCGATGGTGGCAACAAGCTACAGAAAGAAGACACCGCACACATCAGGGTGCTCAGGCAGTTGCTAGATGATCTGGTGGATAAAGCTAAAATCTGGAATTTCAACCTGAAGATTCATGTTTTCCTTTAATGTCCTTTGGGGGAGCCTGGATATTAAGGTGAAGATGAAGGGGATTGCTCTCAAAAATCACTTGCAATTCTTGGCCATCTGTTAACCTTTTTGGAGCTGTTATTCACCAAAAAAGAATCTTTAAAATTTAAGAGAGTTGTCAATTACAGTGAACTCTCTGCAGTGGTTCTAAAATGTGAAATTATACACATATGCACATGCAAAAGTGCGTTTCTGGGCAAGAGAAAGAGACCTGTCTGCCTTACTACTTTACCCCTTCCTTGTCTGAATTTTCTTCTTCCATCTGGTTTGGAGATACCAGCAGGAAGCTGGGATGACAGTAGCTGTCCAGTGCTCCTGCCCCTGGACCAAAGGCCTAAACCTCTTCTGTGTCATTCTAAATGTAAATGCAGTCTGTCAACCTCTCGGAAACCAGCGGTATCCCAGGCTTTTGGGTTTTGAGGACTTGGTGTGGCAGAGACTGTAAGCTGATCGCCTCAAAGCTCACCGTCCCTTTCCCCTTCTGCATTCTGAATTTACTTGGGAGAGCCATGCACACAGCTAGAAAGACAACTTTTCCTAATCTCTCTTGCCGCTAGATGTGGCGAGGTGACCAGATGTTCACCAATGAGGTACATGTAGAAGAGTTGAATATACTTCTGTGAGGTCCTTCATGGACAGGGAGTGGGGCTTTCGCCTCTTATTCTTTTTCCTGCATGGAATGCAAATGTAATGACCGGAGCCCCAACAGCCATTTCAGACCACAAGGTGACCTTGAGAAGAAAGCCAAAAAGATTAAAGGAGCATGGGTCACTGATACATGGAACACCCTACGCGGCTGGACTGCTACCTCCAGACTTCTTTTACATAAGAGGTAAATAAACCTCTATTTGTATAAGACATTGATCCCATACGGTGGAACATAATTCTAACTGATGCCCTTGGGAAACTGTTGAAGGAATGTACACTCTGAAATATTAAGCATTTGGTGTACAGAATACGACAGCAGACACGCTTACAATGCAATTAACAATGCCAACAGTTTATCTTTGAAAGGCTCTGAGTGACCTTGTATGTAGAGATGGCTTGTCGTTACAGTACCGAATCTAGGGTAGGCAACATGCCCATCAAGCATTCGTAAGGGTGCCGCCCTTAAAGCTTCTGGGAGCCACGAAAATCATGTTTTATGTTGAATAATTACCAAAATGAAGTGATGACATTATAAATACTTCACAGTATTAGAGTTTTCAATTGTGAGGATGTAAAAACTTTTTAAAGAATTTGTTTTTAACTAATAAGACATTTTTGAGTGCCTACTAAGTACCAGGCACTGTGCTAAACACTTACATAATTTCACTTAATCTTTACAAGCACATACAATTATTACTCTCACTTAATACCTGGGAAAAGAGAAGGTGTAAGTCACTTGCCCAAGGTCACATGGCAAAGCTGGAAATCAAACCAAAGGCAGTCAGGTTTCAGGGCCTGTATCATGAAACACTGAACTAAAGCATCTTCCGTGTTTATATTCTTCTAGATAGTTTTGAGCATGCTTAGCTCCTCTAAATTCTCCAGTGATCTATGTCAGAATGGCTGTCCTTGTTTCTGTGAATTAGAAAGCTGAATCAGAGAGGGCTTGCTCATCTCTAGGCAAGATTGGCACATGCAGTGACGGTGTCAACAGTTTGACCCCAAGGGACAGAGAGCCAAAGTCATGCTCTGCACACTGACTTGGTCTCTTCCTTGAGTGAAATTTTGTCGTTTAGCTCTTTTTTTTTTTTTTTTTTTTGAGACAGAGTCTCACTCTGTTGCCCGGGCTAGAGTGAGTGCCGTGGCATCAGCCTAGCTCACAGCAACCTCAAACTCCTGGGCTCAAGCGATCCTCCTGCCTCAGCCTCCGGAGTAGCTGGGACTACAGGCATGTGCCACCATGCCCGGCTAATTTTTTTCTATATATTTTTAGTTGTCCGATTAATTTCTTTCTATTTTTTTTAGTAGAGACGGGGTCTCGCTCTTACTCAGGCTGGTCTTGAACTCCTGAGCTCAAACAATCCACCCACCTCGGCCTCCCAGAGAGCTAGGATTACAGGCGTGAGCCACCGCGCCCGGCCCGTTTAGCTCTTTAAATGGAAGGAAATAAAGGGTCACTGATACTCAGTCTGGGAAGATTATAACCACCTTTGAGTTAAGACAAAGAAACACATATGTTTGTTATATTTTAATCAGAATCAGACATTTAATGGCATAAAAACATTCCATATATGGCTTTGCTGCTCCGAAACTCATGAACTTAAACCCAAGTATGACACAGCAGTTTTAAGAATTATTTTGGCCAGCCTCCCCAATCCCAAAAGAGATTAAAAAGTAATAATGTAAAAAAGTTAAGGTCAAGGGGTTTTAAAATCACATCGCAGCAATGACTAACCATTTGTTTCCTGGTGGCTTCTACTCCACCCTGAAAGCTGCTAGCTTAACCGCTGTTGAACAGGTGGTTAGTTGTTAGTTCCCTGGATGACTGTCCCTGAAGTGAAGCTATGCTCTGCGGACACATTAGGCACTTTAAGTGGGGTCGTTACCTTTTCCAGGCTGGGTCCCGTGTTTGGCTCTCAAAAGCAGGTAAAGAATTTACGGTCGAGCAGAACGCTCTGTGGGATGCAGCGCTGGGATCTCAGGGCGTTCTCGCGGACAGCCGTACCGGGCGTTCTGGGGAGCTCTGAGGGCTGGCAAGCAGGTTGCTTAGTTTCTGCATTTGCCGTGGACGTGGGCACAGTGGCTCGTCCGGATTTTTATTCCAGCGTCCCGAATGACAGCCCGTCTACCCAGAGTGACGCTCAAAATATTTAGCAAGCGGTGTGGCACGGACACTGACAGGACAGGTGCCACGTAAACACTGGCGAGGCCGCGGGCGCGAGCTGGCGCAGGTCCCCGCTCTGCGTCTCCGCGCGCCCCGCGTGGCGCTGGCCCACTTGCCTGCGCGAATCCCCTCCCTAATCCGCCTCATCCTCGTCTTCGCCTGCAGTGGCAGCTTCCAGGGCCGCGAGGGCTTCCGCCACCGCCGCATCCTCATCCGCGGTCTCGCCGTCCCCGCCTCTGGGGGAGCCGTGGGCCTCCTCCGGCCGGTCTCCCGGGTCGCCCGCGGGCGCGGCGTGAGCAGGAGCCTCCTCGAAGCAGACGCTTGGAACTTCCGTAGCCACGGCCTCGTTTAATGAATCCCGGCTTCTCTTCACCGAGAAGGGCACGTGCGGACCAGGCTCCTCCGCCCCAGGGGGCGTCCCCCGCAGGGGCTCGTGCTCGGCGTGGTCCTTGAAAAGGTGGCCCTTTTCCTCACCACCGGCACTGTCTGCAGCCGCACCCCAAAGCAGAGGGTAATCCGGGGCTGGGATCTGGAGGACGCGGCCTCGTGCTTCCGAGGCCAGACTCTGCGCCCTGGAAGGAGCTCCGCGGTCTCCGCTGCGCACGGCCCCGTCCTGCTGCGGGACCGGGCGAGTCGGGCGGACGCCGTCCGCAGTGCCGGCCCGGGAGCCCCTGCCGTCCTCGGGCGGCCTGGCACTCCCGCCGGGCTGCGGACCCGAGGCAGGGCCGACGCCATTGAGAGCAGCGTCCGTACAGCGTCCCTCTCCAGGGTCCCCCTGCGGGAGCCGCCCTTGCTGCGGCCAGCTGGACGCCTGCGGACCAGTCCCTCTGCCTCTGCTCGCGGTTCTCGTCAGGCTCTCCCGCGGAGGGTCATCTTTCTGCGCCAGGAATTCGCTGCTGGGTTTGCCTTTTAGTTTATCAGTGTCCTCTTCGTCTGACTTGCAGCTGTTCACTTCGTTGACGTAGCCAGGGGAGGGCACTTGGACCGGATCAAAGAGATAGCTGGGGGCGAGAACGACCAGTGAAGAGCAGCCAGACTTGCCCCATCTTTCACACTGCCTACCACCGGCCCTGCTGCTCTGCTATTGCTGCCAATTTAATTTATGTGATTAGTTATTTTTAAAATCCATGTAAGTGTGTCTAAATCGTATCGATATAGTTGGTATAAAAATGTTCTCTCACTGGAAATAGATCTTAAGAAGAGATCTAAAGGGGGGCGTGAGTGGAGAAGTAAAATACAAAGTGGTTCATGGAATTTTAAAATCGAGAAAGTAAATACAACAATGTCCATTAAAAGGGACACAGAGGGTTAAGTACTGATGGTCAATCCCCACGATGGACTATTATGCTGTCATTACACTGATAAATACGAAGTCTGTAGTTGTATGAAAGATACTTATAATAAATATTTTAAAAATAAAGCCAAACATCACATTATGATTACCGTGGAGTAAACCTTATATATGTTCAGGTCTGGAGTAGAAATAGAACATTTGTTAACTAAGCAAGACCATCAGTTAATTTTTTTCCTTTATCTTATGTAGCTCATTCACGTTACTTGAACTTGTATGAAATGTAATATGGACAAACTTAAAAGCACATATGTGATTGGGGAGATTTATTTTCAGTGATGCCGTTTCAGGCATCCTCGGAAACCCAAGCTTTTCTTTGTGTTGAAGCTCTTTGAAGAAATGTAAATTCAACCTAAACCAAATACAGTCTTAGAGAACGATGGTGTTCCCAACATGCTTTGGGAAGTGAGCAAAAAAAGCTTAAAATCTAGGCCACATGTCCTCTTAAATGGTATCAAAACAGTTCCAAACTTTAATTTATGAGAATGTTGACTGTGTCCCGGGTTGGATAACATGCACTGAATTCGTGCTTGGTCTTTAAAAGTGCCTCCAGGATACTCACAAATTCCTCCAGTTAGGTGAAGTATTTTTCAACCTTACCTTTGTATCATTTTACAGCACCTGCACCCCATCTGGATTAGTTTTTGTTAGCATCTGGAAAAGAAAGTGTGAGAGGCAGAGAACACAGTGAATGACATTTTAGTAGGAATTAGGTTTGCTTTTTCTTTCTTAGATACTCAAAATTAACAGAGGCACAAATCTCGGCAAAAGGGTACCAAACATGCAGGTCAGGCAGGGGCTGGTTACCGGGAACCCTCCATGTTCCAAAGCCGTGGATTCGGAGCTCTCAAACATTCACGACGCCTGCCCCGCGCGGCCCCTTGCCCCGCGCTGTGCCGCCGCGCGTTAGCGCTCCATCCCCATCACGGGCGAGGGAGGCGCATGTGGGAGGATGCCAGAGAGAGAGAGTACCGGCGGGCTTTCTAATCCCTCGTCTCCCACCGCAGAACGGCACCGGCGCACGGCAGCAGGAGGTGTAAGAGGTTCCTTGCCAGGGGGTCAGCCCTCAAGAACTAAAGGACGACTGAGTAAGATGTCTGATCCACGGAGCTCCACGAGTCAGCCCGAGGAGGTTAGGGCCTGAGTCATCAGCACCGGCACCAAATGGCTCCTGTTTTGCCTTTCCCGTCACCGGGGCAATCTCAGTTCTCAGTCGTGGCCTCCCCGCTCTTGCAGCTCTAAGACGTGTCCCCGTGGGGACCCTGGCAGACGGTGGACTCACTTCCCACCTGCCCACTGCCCCCGGCCCTCCCCAAGCTGGATTTCCCCTATCATTTCCCTCTGAACAAATCTTCTCTTCATATAAAACTGACCACGTTGGTCTGCTCTTTCCTCAGAAAATCCTGAAAATTAGTATGGACAAATTGCGAAGTCATTCTCCATGTGTAACATCAACAGCCTTTAGAAGGACAAGCCAACAAGAGAATCGAAAGCCCAGCCCTGTGTCTCCAGGAAACGCGTGCACTGGGAGGACAGACAGCGCTCCTTGCTGGCTGTGTCCCTGCCTCCTCTGCCATCTCTGTCCTTCCTCCTTTCAATCATGGATGAATTTCCCGGGATGCTACGTCATAGGCCTTTGCCACAGTGAAAATGACTGGGTGCTTTTTAAGATGTACTGATGGGTTGGTTGGCCACAGGGAACTAGATTTACACTGAAAAACAGAATCCACAAATAACCCCCTGTAGTAAGCTAAAAAATGGCTCCCCAAAAGATATCTGGGTCCTGATCCCTGGAACCTGTGAATGTTACCTTATATACACCCCTATCCGCACAAGTCTTTGAATATGTGATTAAGTTAAGGATTTTGAGATAGTGAGATTTGCCTGGATTATCTGGGTAGACCCTAAATACAATGATATGAGTGTTTCCGGGAGCAGGTGGAGGGAGATCTGACCACGGACCGAAGAGGAAGAGGCAATGTGACCACAAAGGCAGAGATTGGAACCAAGGAACGTCCAGGAGCTGGGGGAGGCAAGGAACGGATTAACCCCTCTGGAAGGAGCGTGGCACTGGTCACAGCCATATTTCAGCCCAGCAATACCAGTTTCAGACTTCAGGCTTCTAGAACTGGGAGAGAATAAACTTCCATTGTTTTAAACCCCAAATTTGCAGTAACTTGCTACAGCAGCACAGGAAACTAGAACATCCCCAAGTCCCTTCCTTCTTGACCACCAAACCCAATGTCAGTTAAAACCTTCTCAGGAGGACTAATGAATCCGTAGAGAGTCCCCCGGGCCACCTCACCCCGCGTGTCTTGTCACCCTTTCTCTCCTTACTGTGCTTCATTTTCCTTCCGAGCACGTGTTACCACTGCATACTTTGTCGCAGGTTTATTTGTTTATGATCCTTCTTTTTCACAATGAAGTAAGCCTTTCTTCCAGTCTGATTCCCCAGCACTTAGGAAAATACCTGGTACACAGTAGACAGTTAATAACTATTCGTGGAATGAATGAATTACCTAATGGCTATAGGTTAAAAATGAGAGCAGTAGCTGAGGGGGTCTGTAACCAGTCAAGGCATTCCTGGTGTGTGCCAACCATGGCACCCCGGTGTGCCAAGGTGGACCCTGGGGACAGAAAACTCAGCGCAGAGCCCAGCTCCGCTTCCCACTCGCCGTGGACTCAGGACCTCGGCCACCTCTTCTGTAAACAGGGACAGTAATATTCCTACCATATGGCGCTGTCGGGGGATTACCTAATACCCATAATAAGCATAAATCAGTGTTTGACCCAGTCCTGTTTGTATAGAGCATATTAAAAAAAAATGGGGGCCTTGAACCCAAGCAAGATGTAATCTAGTTGCCATGACATAGGCACACAATCAAGAGTATTAACAATACTGAGCAGTGCTTGTTTCTGGAATAAGGGCCAAATGGTATATTTCTAGCAGCTGTGACACCGATTGAAGGATAGAAACCCCAAGTGCAACAACAGTTCCACAGAGAGAGAAATCGTGGTGTGGGGGGCTTCGCCAGTAATAAATGCATACAACCTTTTACTTTTTCAAAACACTCTCAGTTAAATAACCCCATTTCCAAAGCCCAGGATTTTGTTCCCAGCTTCTGCCCCCCGCTTACGTTCACTTTCTGCTGGGAGGTCATAGGTCAGCTGTATGAATCAGCTGGGTGAGAAGTAGCACCTCCTCCCCTCCCGGCCCTCCCCCTCCACAATCTGCTCTGAAATCCTGACTCTTTCCATACTTGCAGTGCATTTGTTTATCCTGGACTCTGTTTTAAAAAAATTAGGATAGGTGGCAAAAAAACAGTCAAAGAAAAGGAAAGGGGCTTAGAAGTGTTGGAGAAACACAAAGGCAGACTGGATGGTAATCTTGTAACTGAAGCAATCATAAAATATTAATCATTGAAAACCTCAGGTCAACTTTATAATGAGAGTTGTCCATGGGAAGGGTTTCTTCTGAAATAAATAAATGAAAAAAAGAGAAAGGAAGAGGGAAAGAAAGACAAAAGAAATAAAAGAGAGAGAGAAAGAAGAAGACCAAGAAAGGCCAGGCATGTCTTGAGTGACACCGTGCGTCCCCAGAGACGCAAGACTGGCCCTGGGCACCCCTGCCCAGGAGGAGCTGGGCCACTGTCCCCACCTTCTGCTGTGGCTCAGGCCACAGGAGCAACCTGCACCAAAATGAGATGACTGCTCAGCTTTGAAAGCCCAACTCAAACACCGCCACTCTCCTGCCTCTGAAAGAAATGATACGTCCTCCGTGGCTTCTGGGCTCCCTCCTCCCCCAGGAAAACCACACAATCTGTACTGTTCTTCAAAGCCATGCAGTTACAAAGGCGGTTTTGGTGGTCTGCTCCTTGCAGGACCAGGTTTGCAGTTGGGATTCTCCCCCATTGCCTCCCTTCGGGGCACACCACATGGGTGTCCCACAGACCTGGTCCGTACCTGAGGGCCATACTTCTGCGCCTCTCCGGAGCCCAGTGCGGACGGCCTCTTCCTGGTTCGAGGTTCTGCCCTCTCTCACCTCGCCCCGTGCTTTCCTTCCCCAGCGACATTCCTTCTCTCAACCAGACAGGCCCTAGCGTCCGAGGCTGTGTGACCGCTGACGAAAAGGGTGGGGACGCACGTATTTCCACCCAGCCCCTGCACGCCCGCATCTACAATTAGTCTTCCTTATATGATGTGTCAGATTACATTCTTTTCTCTGTTCGTATGTCCCTCCCACATCCACGTCTTGCTTGTAGCAGGGAGTTCTCCTGAGTCCAGGTGCAAAAAGGAAATACTCCTCATCTGGCACATGAGATATGGAAATGGAAGAAAATATATGCTCTTTCGATGTGAGACTGAGTTGAGAGCGAACCGTCTGCCCGCTTTCTTCCTTTCTTCCCTTTGACCACAGCTAGCTTGAAGGTAAGAGCTCAGTCGTTGGGTGCTTTATTACTGAGCAGAATTGAAATTTGCTTTCCCTTTGGAGTTTAAAAAAGCAACAGGGAAGCAAAGGGCAGGTCCTTTGCTTGGTTTACACAGGGGAAAAACAAACACCATTAGGATGGCTGTGTCCATCCACTGCTCCGGGAGCCCTGTGTTTTGTGTTGAAGTTAAATAGTCCTGTGTTTGAAGATGGCCATGCTAATGCCCGTCAGTTGCTGGCGAAGCCTCCTTGCTGGAAAATCCCGATTCACAAGGGGGTAGCTTTGGAGGTGGGGGAAGGGAAGACCAGAGAGGGCTGGGAGTTTTCTAACCAGACAGAGAAACTGACTATTTGTCAGGAAGTCATGGGAATACGAAAAAGGCTCAACCTATCTGGAAAGAGCTGCCTTTGAATAGTGCTAGTCTTAAAGAATGGCAAGGACAGGTCAAAAGGACACAGGAGTTAGCTTATAGGAGTTTTGCTGGCCAAATCTGGAACAACTGGAGCATCAGAATAAATACGACTATAAGGCTTCACGAGTCTACACTGAGAGAAATAACATGAGGGAAATGGAATGTTCTGCCTTGCAAGTAGGAAACCAGCCAACAAACACACAAGAAAGAATGGATCTAGAAAAGCGCCAGTTGACAGCCATTCAGGTAGGAGTCAGCAGTGGCCTGAGACTAGTGGGTGGAAGTCTGAGGTGAACAGTGGATCTCGTCTCGCGGTATCTCCCCACCGCAGGCACAAGGGTGTCCTCGCGCAGCACCGCAGCCACGCGATTGCAGGCAGTGCTGCCGTGGCGAGACCGGTGGGATGCACGGGCATCGGCATCCCCCTAACCGAAACATGCAGGGTATTTTGCAAGGCACCTGGCCTGCACTCTTCGTGTGATGTTATGAAAAAGCAAAGAAAGACCGAGGAGACCTCAGAGGCATGACAGCCCAAGGCGCTGCACGCCCTTCTTGCTGAAAGGTCACAGATTAGGTAACAGTATTAAGTCAATGTTAATTTCCTGATTTTGGTCATTGTATTGGGATTATATAAAAGAATGCCCTGTTTTTAGGAAATGCATAGTGAATTACTTAGAAATAAAGGAGCATGGTTTGTATAACTTATTAAAATGATTCAGAAAAAATTTGCGTATGTGTGTGTGTAGAGAAAGAGGACAATAAAGCAAATGTGGTAAATATATTTAGGGACTCTGGGTAGAGGATAGATGAGGATTCTTTGTATTTTTCTTGCAACTTTTCTCTTAAGTCTGAAATAACGTCAAAATAAAAAAATTAAAAGGATAAAAAAGGTGCGAAGTTAAAAATGAAAGTGCTAATCTAATGTCAGTTTCTGCTTCTTACAACCTGGGCTAGGACCTAACACCTTCAGGGACTCACTGATATTAAGATATTCCCTATAAATTAGACCATGCAGAAAGGTCTTGGAAGGGAGTTCGTCAAAAGTCCACTGGCCTTGCTGAATTTAGGTGTCATCCTGTGTACGTGCGGAAGACCTTTGCGCAATATACAGTCCCACGCGCTAGAACTCGGGGCACGTAAGTTACGATTCTTGTCCTCAGGCTGCTGCTGCATCTTGGGAAGGGACCCGCTGTCCAGAGCCCTGGTGCTGGCTGCCTCCCATCGCACCCGCACTCCTCACGGGCAGTGCCCAACCCGCGGAGCCTCCAGCTCCCACGGAGCACTTCATACGTGTCACTCGAATGAAGGACTGACTGGTGAGCGACAGGTAGGAATGACTGAGTGACGGGTAGGAGATTTTATAAATTATTCCCATCGAGGGTCTACCCCTTTCCATGATCAAATCTCACTCTACCCAGTGGTCCAAACTACGGGCCAAATGCAGGAGCTGAGAGGGGTGCGAGAGAACGTGGTTCCCTTTCCCAGCTTGGGAAACAGAGAAACCTCCATCGTGCAATTCCAAGGGTCAAAGATGTTCTCCTTCAAGGGTTCTCGTCAACGAACTTTTAAAGCAGCTGTTGGGAACTGGATTGGGTTTACAGACACTGAAGTATTTGGAAGAGAGATACAAGAAAATGAAACACATACATTTCAGCTGTTTTGAAAAACCAACTTGCTCATGTTTAGAAAACACAGCCCGGGGTTTCACGTAAGCTGGCCGGTAGGTGAAGTCAGCAAATGCTTAGTAAGCCACTACTGGGGGCCGAGGTCCTGGCTCAAGAGAAATGAATGAAGGTAACTGCCAGGAGCTGCGTCCCTTCCCAGAAGAAATGAGAGGCCGCCGGCCCAGCTTCACAGACAGCGCTGAATCTACTGCGCAAAAGCCTGGAAGACAGACTCCGGACGCTCGGTCTATCTCCGTGGCAGCATCATTTCCTCCTTTCTGGACAGGCTTAGGAAACTCACTGGGACAAATTTTTCTGGGGTGTTTAATTTTCTCCTAAAGAGGCCGAGCATCGGTTATTTTGGAGGACTTGAAAGACTGCACGCAGACTGTTACCATCAGCACCACCAAACAGTCCGTTTCGCGCATTCTCGGTAGTCGACGTGCAGATGTCTGTGTTGGCGCCACCTAGAACTGGGTTCGATGGGAATTTGTGTGCACAGATGTGTTCACAGGTCCCCCCCTCCAAAAAAAGGGCCTTCCTGGTCAAAATAGGTTTGGGAATAACAGAGATTGATCTGCTGATGAGCACATTCGTGGTTATGAAAAGGAACGCTTTCACTTTGTTTAACCCACTATTTCCCCAAATTATCTGACCACAGAGCTTTATTTTCATAACAAGCTTATTAACAATCAACAGAACTCATGTTTTGTGGGAAACTTTGGGAAAAATGACTATTGAAGTGACATTCATAATCATCAGGGGAGTTTTATGCCCCAAACTAACACTGTCGTGTGGTGTTTGGGTGAACTTAGCCAGGCAAATCTGTGCCGAGGTGTAAGAGGTCCACGTCCCAGCCACGACTCCCTCGCCAATGGCAGGGACGTGGGAAAGTCACTTCATCTCACATCTAATAGTCTTCTGCCTGGTAAAGTGGGAAAGAAAGGGAACGTCCACTCATCGACTCGGCTCACATTTTACCTCGCTGAGTGCTGAGAGCCGCGCTGCAGGCAGGCACTCACGCTGCCCCTACGCGGGTGGGGCGCCCCACTCGGCAGTTTGCAAACTAGCCCATCGCAGTACTGCTGTTTGGGCCCCAAGTCCACGCTCATCCCAGGCCACGATCCTGAATAAACAGAGCAGGCTTCTCCTCTGGTTCCTCCCTCTGGCCCCAGGCTCTCGTCTCACTCCCGCAGGCCCGCAGCTCTTCGGCAAAGGTCTCTGCCAGGAGGGGCTGCTGACCAGCACCTGGACCCCTGAGATGGGGACAGAGTGTGTCACAGCAACGTCCCTGGGAGGGATGGGGGTCTCAGATCAGGGAGACCCCTGAGGGTGGAGGAGGTGGCCCCTTCTCCACTGGGGATGGGCTGGGGGAGGTGCCAGCTACCGGGTGGGAAGGCAGCTGGTGGGTTCCAGAGCACTGGCCGGTGACGCTGAGCCTGCTGCTGTGCCTGCATTTTAATCTGAAACCATGCAAAAAATAAGTTTCCAGGCCTGGTGCGGTGGCTCACGCCTGCAATCTGAGCACTCTGGGAACCTGAGGTGGGAGGATCACTTGAGGCCTGGAGTTTGGGACCAGCCTGAATAAGAGCAAAAGACCCCATTTGTACAAAAAATAGAAAAATTAGCCGGGCGTGGTGCCTCGAGCCTGTAGTCCCAGCTACTCGGGAGGCTGAGGCAGGAGGATCATTTGAGCCCAGGAGTTTGAGGCTGCAGTGAGCTACGATGACACCACTAGCCCAGGCAACAGAGGGAGACTCTGTCTCCTAAATAAATAAATAAGTTTCCAGGAGCCAAAGCCATCAGTCTCTGAAAGTGAAATGTCTGGGTTGAAACTGGTGTTTCTCAGTGAAGGGTGGCCCTGGGCCCACTGGAATTGTACCGTTTAAAGGGCGGCCGCTCCGGCCTTCCCCAAAGCTGCCTTGTTGGCGCTGTTCGCCTGCGGAGGGTGTCGGCTGCTCCCGTGGAGTTCCCGTTGCAGGAACTCGGAGGAACAGGCCAGCTCCTGGTCCCGAGACTCCATTGCTGCTGCGTTCACAGGATCTTTGGATCTTTCATGTCTGTGTTGAATGCGGAAACAGATTTTTTTTTTTTTATAACACAGTGATAACGTCACTCCCTTTTTTCTTCCTTTGGTGCTTATAGTATAATATATATACAATACACAATCATTTTAGTGGGTCTGGAAAACATTTCATATGGCCCTTTCCTCCATTCACGACCTGATGCCATCGTTTTCCTTTTCCTATGTAATTACTCTACTGTCCTTGTGAGTACAGAGAAGTTACATGTAACTTGCCCCAGGTTTTAAAAGTTGGAAAGTAGGACTGTGCAGCTATTATTGATGTTGTTGCTATTGTTTTCATTATTGTTAATATTTCCTGGCATCCATCCTGGTAGGCTCCGTTCCCCTCTGAGCCTCTGCATTACGCAAGCAGCTTGTGCTCGGTCGGTTTGCGGAAGAGGCCCGGATCCTCCTGGCTCGGGCTCCGACAGAACTGCGTGGGTGTGCTTTTGCGCCTCCACCGCCAGGTGGCAGCACACAGCGGCGATTTCACCCTGATTTCAAAGGCGGGACGAGTGGGAGAAAGGCCTCCGACCCGGGAATCACCGCACAGAAAGTGCGGGTGCCTCGCCGTAGCAAGGTTAAGGAGGAGGTGACGCGGTCCGTATTCCAGAAGGTTACTGCCGCCGTGGCACCACATCTGGCAGGGCCTGGACAACGGTGGGGCCAAAAGGCTGCTGCGGCTCCGCTCGGTCTCTCTGCGCACCGGGCCCGCGGCGGCGCGA